GCACGCCTTGATCTTGTGGGCTGGGCCACCCCTGGGGGCGCAGCCCATGTGACCTACCATGGGTATCAGGGGTCGTACCCCCCACACTTGATAAGGAGCTAGATCGCTCGATGTAGGGCCTAGCCGATTTTAAGATCGGCCGGCACCTAGGGGATGTCCACACCTGGACCTTGTGCCTCCAGCGATGAGCGCGATACGCAAGACACGTCGCCGAAGGAGCCTTGCTAGGAGCGCGACACGCAAGACACGCCGGCAAGGTCTCTTGAGAACTGAAATCCCACACATCCGGGAGGAACCATGTCGGGGCGTGCAGCGGCTATGGGCTGCTCTAGCTGGCCTGGCCGCTCTAGAACTTTGCTGTCATCGATCCACCGTCCATGTGGCGCCAACAAAGAACAAGGAGAAGTAGAGGGGAAAAGAGAGGAAGAGAGGGTAAAAGAGAGGTAGTAGATTGATTTGTTGTATTTTTGTGTCGATTGCATAGATAGGAACTCAATCGGCCATGTACCCCTTATTTTATAAGGGGTAGAGGTGGTCTTATCCCATAGGAAAACCAACGTGGTACTATTATCATGTCGTTTTATAAATTTTTTCTTAGACTAGGATCGTGTCCGTGCGTTGCAACGGGAACAAATAAGGGAGGCCAACATGCCAACACTTTGTCCACTAAAGCATTAAGATTCGGTGTCCTGGAAAGCTGGTTCGTCAAAACAACAAAAACAAGTCTTAAAATCTCAAGCAAAGATTTGTTCCAAGGGATTTCGTCAAAAAAGCATTTCACTGAATCATAGAAACTAAGACCAGTTAAATCATTAAATCATCCCAATTTCAACAAATACTCCATCGAACCATATAGGAAGCATGCATTCATAAATCAGTATCAACATCAGGCAACAGGTTCATATTGAAAAATTTTGTGCATATAACTACATCTATACATAGGTATGAAGAACAAGAACTAGTAACCATAATAATCTTCCTCATCGTAGCTATGAACTAAAACTTAACAAAATAGGAGTGACTACAAAAGTTACGCAGGTATAGTGATCATCCTCCATTGAATCTGGACATTCATTATTGCCAAAGCATCAAGATTGTTGTTCCTGACAAAAACAGGAAAGCTTCACTATTATTGAATGTCAAAATGCAACATACCGAAAAAATTGTTTCTAGTAAGAACATGCTATAAAAAGAATACTCATACATGTAAGTTCGTTAGATTGAGATTTTATTGTAACAAAAAAAGGTTCAAAAGCTGCCATGTACATATATGATGTTTTCTCAACTCAACATATATGATGGCACTTCCAAATCATTTTCTAGTGGGAATAGTTTCAAGATTTTCGGCTTTTTTTGTCTGAGTTAGCAGATGGCCATTACATTGAAAAACAACAATTTCATTAGCCCTATGTGGACAATATGGTGACTAAGTTCAAGCATCACATGAGACTGAATTTTCTGAACTTAGTATCTACACTATGCATTGAAAGGAAACATTCCTTACTATAAATGAGGCATCAAGCAGGTTGCAAACCTATAAACAATCGCCTTGTGCTTTTTGTTCCTCGCTCAGTTTTCTGCATTGGCACCTTTTAATTTGTCCTGTTTTCATGCTGCATCGTCTTTTAAACGGAGAAGGGTCGGTAAAAAATGATAAAAAAGGAAAAGTAGAAGACTATCAGAAAAAAATTGTTTCAAAAGGCTTTGAACCAATTAATCGAAGGAGCTATCATATCATCATGTATTACAATAATGTGACTACATGAACAAAGAAAATGGGTTATCTTACCAGCAAAATGAAACAAAGGAAGTAGAAACTAATATAATATTCTGAACAAGATGAAGCTCGCTGCTGAATGAGTGACGATAGAGAACATAACCTTTTGTACTGGCTCATCTTGGTTATTAAAAAAATAAAAAAAGAACTTTGCCTTTTGGCTATCCACATTCAATATTGTTGAGCAGCTTATCCACATTCAGATGCTTTCAGCCTTTTGGGCCAGATTAAGCAATGTTAATGAGAACACAAAAAAATAGATTAGAACCAACAAATAGGCTAGGTCAAAAAAAATCATCTATAGGAGATAGCCGCACCAATTGTTCCCCAGCGGAGTCGCCAAAAAGTGTGTTGACGCTTAATTAGGTCACACACACTTGATAAGGAGCTAGATCGCTCGATGTAGGGCCTAGCAGATTTTAAGATCGGTCGGCACCTAGGGGATGTCCATGCCTGGACCTTGTGCCTCCAGCGATGAGCGCAATACGCAAGACACGTCGCCGAAGGAGCCTTGCTAGGAGCGCGACACGCAAGACACGCCGGCAAGGTCTCTTGAGACCTAAAACCCCACACATCCGGAAGGGACCACGTCAGGGCACGCAACGGCTATGGGCTGCTCTAGCTAGCCTGGCCGCTCTAGAGCTTCGTCGTCATCGATCCATCATCCATGTGGCGTCGACGAAGAACGAGGAGAAGTAGAGGGAAAGAGAGAGTAAAAGAGAGGTAGTAGATTGTTTTGTTGTATTTTTGTGTTGATTGGATAGATAGGAATTCAATCGGCTATGTACCATTTATTTTATAAGGGGTAGAGTGATCTTATCCTATAGAAAAACCAACGTAGTACTATTATCATGTCATTTTATGAAGTTTTTCCTAGATTAGATCAAAATTGTCGTGCACCTATTTAAATTGGCTGGGACCGTGTCAACACAGGGAAAAAAAACAGAGCGGAAGGGAGCGCTGGTGCCGTGCGCGCTATGAAACACGCGCTGAAGCGGACGAAGAAAATCTGCACGTTGTGAAATCCACGAGTTGTATTGTATGTTGCAGACTGTTGCCGCTTCGTTGTTCTTTTTTCTTTTTTTGAAAGTGGGTTGCAGCTTCGTTGGTTGAAAGTTGAAACAGAGCCTCGCAGCTGAATTGCCTGGACGCCCGTGCTCGGCTTCGCAGTGTATTGCGTGTTCGCCCGGTTGGCCCATTCATCGTTGAAACCAAACACAGGCGTTCGCCCGGTAGGCCGATTCACTGTTGAAACAAAACACAGGCTTCCGGTCCAAAATTCCAAATCCGTAAAAGGCCCAAAACTCCAGATCCGTAAGGCCATCCGATCGCGAGGCTTGTTTATGGCCTCGAAGATGTCCGCTGCTCCTGAACAGTATTTCCAGGCGGAACAGTATTTTCTTGTTTGGCTATGGCTTGTCGTAAACGATCGTAAATTTTCAGCCGGAACAGTATTTTTCTCTCACACAAACCAGCCAGCAGTACTTCTTCATGAAACAGCAACGAAACGAACCAGCCAACCAAACAGGCTCTGGTAGCAAGTGATGCCTCAAATGTAACCTGCAATATTCGGATCCAAGAAGAATACCTGAATGGCTGAATGTGCATTTAGACTAACAACAGTCACAAAATAGCACCAGCTCATTAAGGCTTCAGACCACGAATGATGAGCAGCACCAGCCAATGCTGTTTCTGAACTAAGAAATGAAGAAATTAATCCCAAACAGATGAACTGCACAGAGGTCCTTTATAATTTATATGTTACGACAAAGTTTATGTACAAAAATTATCTAAAGAAAAATAGCAGGTATACCTGCCTATGTTCTCTTCATCTATCGTCCCTATTAATCCTAAAACTTTTTTTAATGAGAATTAACTCTGCTTTTATAAAGCAACAGGTAACAATACAGGAGACGCTGGGGTTGCCAGCTACAGAAATAGTTCAGAGAAACTACGTAACACACTAGATCTCAGATACAGATTGTAGAATAGCACTAGGACGAAAGTTCTTCAGCCATGTCAGGATGCTGTCCAAGATGTGTTCGACGCGCTCCTTATCCTTCTCCTTGGGTAGCAGACTCCATTTCTGCATCAATGACACAGCAGCGTATATTACATCAGATGGGGCTTTGGGAAAGCTTCTCTCAATAGCCATCTTGTTCCTTGTAGTCCAAATCGACCAAGAGAAACCTGCAAAAAGGAACATCAACAATCGGCTAGGCAGAGGCCCCTTGCCCTGCAACCGGATACAGCTGAAATCATCCAAAGATGATGGCCACCAATTCAGATGAAAAATCTCCTTAATCATACCCCAGACCAATTCTACCCTCCCACATAGACAGCAGTGGATATCCCCTTTCCAACCTCGCTTCACTAAACATTTTGCCACCTGCAACTTGTTGTTAAAGGATTGCCATAGGAAAATTTTAATTTTCAAAGGAATCTTGCATTTCCATATGTACCCAGCAGTCTTACTAGTAACTCCCCTATCTGTCAAAAACCTGTAAAGGGATTTGGTAGTGTATTGCCCTTTTCTTTCTAAAGCCCAGCTTACTGAATCATTAGAATCAAGCTCTAAGCTAATCCCCTGGAGTGTATCCCTCAGCTCAAGCCAAGAGTTATACTCTGGAACTGATAAGGATCTTTTAAAATCCATCTCCCAAACTCCCTCATTCCATCACTCACTAACACTGCAACTAGGATCCCTGACCAAACAATAGATTTTATTATAGGCAACACTCAGTGGAACCTTCTGCAACCAGCAGTCTTGCCAAAATTTACAAAAATTACCATTTCTAACCTGAAACAGAGCCCCCCACGTAAACAGATGTTTGATTTTATGAAGCCCTTTCCAAAATTGAGAGCCACCCTTGGCAATCCTAAAACTTTTTTTTTCTAGAATACATATGAGAGCTGCGCATCATTGTATTAAAAAATAGAACGGACTTGGGTTAGTGTTTTTTGTTACATTTGCGCCCTTTGCGAAGATTGATACTGAAACCTCATAACAAATGATGACAGAGATGGCCTGAAATATAACCTTCAACATTCAGATCGACAGATAAATGAGAATGCCTGAATGTGCATTCAGACTGACAACGGACACAAAATAGCAACTGCTCGTTATGGTTTCAGTAATCAGTACATGCTAACATATACAGTAACCACCCTTTTGAATTAAGACTTCATATATATATATACAAACCATAGCCATCCAAGAGGCTTACAGACCTACATAACACAACGACATGCATGACATGGCTTTACACTACTGCTGCAAACTAATAAATCGGCCTGTTCGCTTGGTCGTAAACGATCGTAAATTTCCAGCCATAACAGTATTTTTCTCTCACATCAAACCAGCCAGCAGTAATAATCCACGATCGTATACGATCGTTTCAGCCCCAGCCGAACAGGCTGAAAGATCCAAAAGATCCCCGGCTACACTACCATCCAGAACCTGCACCCACCTATTCCTGTGCTATCCAAACGACAAAAAACATGTTAGCAGAAATAACGAACATAAACATACCATCAGTCCATCACACCATTTCCTAAAAACAAATTGCTAATAAGATGAAGCCTACCATTCCAGTGCCAGGACATGACAGCCTCATACCATGGTTAAGAAGTGTGACAAGAACAGCAACTAATTGTTCAATGTGGGTTTTGGGCGGCCTCAGGCCATCATAGAAAAACTTCACTTCCTCAGGAATAGGAGAAGGGTCATCCAAACCAATGGCCACCACAGATAAAACACCATTAAACTGCCTGCACATACGAACAGCATCCACAAACAGGTTGCCATAGCGACGCTTCAGAGTATCGATGCTCCTCTCCTTGCTCTCAACAACACTAGAACAAATGCAAAGACACTGCTCCAGATCAGCCACTCTCTTTTCCAAAGACTTTGCCTTCTCATGGTTCACATCCTTCACAACGACATGGTGTTCATCGCACAGGCACAGAGGCACTCGATTACTATATACCACTAAAACTTTCTATTGCATCATACTTATCACTGCTTTCATCACCGAAAAACTTATAATGAGACACAACACCGTCAGCTACACAGGGTGGAAGATCCATGTCAATCCTACCACGGTATACTCCAGCAGCCTACAACAAGGCCAACACCATGAAGCCTGGGCCTCAGTCTGCCCAAAATCTGCCTAAACACCACCCGCTTACATAAAGGAACACAGCGAGCGGTCTACAGCAACAACATAGTGACCACAAACAAAGAAACGAATCCAGGTTAGCCCAAAATCATAAAATTAAGATATGTAGCACAATCACAGTAACAACGCACCGCCGGTACATAAATATCAGCAGGACTGCAGTTTTCTTCACGATAAACAAGTTCTTCCAGAATCAGAACCCCGGCAAGCTCTGAGCAGTCAAAGAACGAAACCGCCGAGGCAGATGCACTGAAAAAAAAAAACAGGAAACGAACCAGCACCCTCCATCTGCGGCAGAATCAAACCCATCCCTGACAGAACATGCCCAGTACCAGCATTACCGCTACCAGCACAGCCTTGGTTAAGCTTCTGAAGATCAACAGATACACAAAATGCTCAGCTACAAAAAGATATTACCTACGCTTCAGATTGCTATATGAACTCAGTATAGTTACCAAAAAAACGCACCTGGCGACTCGCCCTCCCACGACCCCCGGCGTCTTGAGCAGGGAACGGCGTCTTCCTCCACCCAGAATCCCAATCTCCTTCGTCGACACCGAAGGAAAAAAAAAACACTCACAACATTGATTTCCCCAACCCCACGACTAAAGGTGCACCTCCAAAACGAATAGATATATAGATAGAGGACCGCACAATTACCAAAATCTCCAGCCCTCGGCATCTCCGTCCTAAAAGGGCCCGGTCCGCCCGGACATAGAGCCCCCTTTCTCTGATCACCTCTAAACAGAACAAGCACCAGCCCATCAAAAAAACGCATACAGCAAGCCCGTAGAAACAAAAACATCCCTGCCCCCACAAGGCCCGCGTGCGCGGTGGAGCGTGTGTGATGAGTGACGACCTAGTTACTATAGTTGAAACTTGACCTGCAGCACTGAGGAAGATTGCATACATAGCTCAATTTGCACATACTGCTAAAACTGAAATTACCATGAGACTTACTTCCTAGTATACACTATAGGAGAAACTGGTGCACTATATCGTTTGTTATGGTGCCAGAACTCTTTGCGTCAGTACTCAATGGTCAATGGTGTCCAATGCTTTTTCCCAATATATACGGAATTACGGATGCAGTGAAACATGTATCATGCATTTAGAACCTGCTGCATATTTGTGAGGAAATGGGGGTAACTGACTATGCACAAAACACATATTACTTTTCTAATTGGGTACTTCTTTAGTTCTAAAGTATCTGCATCCACTACTGACCACAAAAAGTTGCCAAATCAAAGTACAAGACAAAAATGTGGGTTCAGAAAACAAAAGGGAACAATAGTCATCAATCCAATTTCAAGCCAGATTTCTCCACCCATTGTAGCAACATGACATTTATTAACTAGCATTGTTCCTGTCTCATATGCTAATATTCCCATTTTTCTAAGCACCAGCCATTCAACTCAAGAAAAATTCCCGAGCACCAGTTGCTGAAAAGAAAAAGAGAAAAAAACCAGAGCACTGGTACATTCAGACAGAAGAATTCCCAGCTCTGATGGTAACCTAAAGTTCTGGAGCACAGAGTAGGATACTTGAGTCACCATCTTACAGATAAGCCCCATTTAGCTTTACACCAACTGGCAAGCTATGAAGTGATCATACAGAAGACCCAGGAAGCATGAAAGGTGCACAACAAGATCAGCAGCAAAGTCACCATCCTAAGGAGTTAACCCATCAGAAGCCCCATAAATGCCATATACCATCACCATCAACAGTTTCAACTTTCAAGTTAAGACTGCAACAATACCTTGAGGTTCTCTCCGTTGGGTTGATCTCTACCAACTTGGCCCCCGGTCAATTGGACCTTTGATCCGCGTCCTAATCGGGGGCGCCCAATCCTATCTATGGTTGGTGGGCTCCCATCACAAATCGCCATAAAAAGAAGGTGGGGTGCGGGGCACAAGGCACGAGGTTCACCTGAGCCGCCACAAACCCCACCTACATCCTATCCCTAAGCCGATCTAGAGAGAGGGCGCTGCCAGCGACGGGAAGCCGCCACCACCGCGTCTGCGACCGCACATCCACTGCGACGTCCACACAGTCGCCGGACTCCACTGCTACTCTACGCCTTCACCGCGTCACCGACACCGACGCCATGGCCAGCTCGTCTACCTCCAAGGCGACCGATGGTTTGCTAACACCGCATCCCTCTCTCTCTGTTTCCTAGCACTCATATTCTAGGGTTTACCATATCCTAAATTCAAGTTCATACACGCTAGATCTGTTGCTAGTCGATCCTAGGATTCGATTTGTGAATCGGATCGAAACCCTAACCCTAACCCTAGAAGGAAAACGGACGAAGAGGGGGAGGAACCTACCTGGTTTCTTCATCACCGTCGACACCGCCGCTCGCGGGAAGAAGGACCCGCCGCGCGCCTCGCCAGCACGCAGGAAGAAAGCGCCGCACGCGCGAGCACCGGCTAGGGCACCGTCACAGGACCGCTAGACGGCGGTGCGCTCACCCTTGGGCGAACGCGCGCGCCGGCGAGCGAGCCTATGGCAGCGCCGCCGTTCCTTTTTCTCTCCGGCCGCCGTGGTTTTGGGTGAGAAGGGAGAGAAAGCCGGCCGCCACGACGTAGAGAGAGAAGAGAGAAGAGCAAATGAAGTTAGGGTTCGGGAGAACCGGAGTGCGTGCGGTTTTTGTTCCGCCAAGAACGACGCTCGGCCGTCGGATCGCGATGGACGGCTCTGGGCGCTCGGGCCAGCTTTCAGCCCAGGCGGGCAAAGCAATTCCCAGCCTAGGCCCAGGTTGCGGCCTGGGTGCGGGGATAGCGCGGCGCGGGCGGCTAACCGGGCTGGATTTCGCTGCTGGGCCGCGACAGCGCGCGTCGCGCGAATGAATTTCGGCCCGAATGCACATTAACGATTATGAATTTGTTTATTCTTTTTCAGAAGCAATTTTTCGATGATTTTTGTCTAGTTTAAATCTCTGTCAAAATTTGAACCAACGGGATAATTTTTTCAAAGAGTAGATGAGTACAGTAAAATGCTTCAGAAAAGTAGATAAATTATTTTTTTTTCATATTTCCGCTGCAAAGTTTAACGTTTATTATCTTCTAATTAAATTTGAACCAACGGGAGGATTTAATTTGAAGAGAAGTTATTTTTTAATCTGTAAATTAAAATATTATTATTTTTCTGACCAACGTTGATAATAGCAATATTATAATCTTTTTCATGAGTTTTTCCATGCGTTAATTCTATTTCTGCCCAACGGCGATGTAGAATTAGTGTAGAAGAATGTTATATGTTGTATGTTTTAATTTCGGCCAACGTTAAATTAAGACATGCAATTATTAATTCATATTTTCTCACTATCTCTAACGGTGTTTTTTCAGGATTCAACTCTATGGCATTTATCTCGCACATACCGCCTCTTAAAGTGGGCAACTATCCTATATAGCGAAAGAAGTATGAATTAGCACTTGCGCTGTCCGAAAATAACCTAGCGCTTACCTCTCCATGTCCTACTGAGTCAGTGGACCCAGTGAGGGAAGAAAATGAAACTGATGCTGATTTCACTGCTCAGTAGCGAGATCATGCAGAAGTAAGAATGAAATATGATCTCGAACGTAAGAAATGGGATATTTCGAACCGCAAGTGCTTGATGGTGACTAAGTCCACTATTTTAGATGCAATAAGGGGGTCTATCCCAAATTGTGACATCGCCACAGAGTATCTCAAGAAAGTGGAGAGTCAGTTTACTGGCTCTTCAAAGACTTATGCCAGTACCCTAATAAGAAAATTATTCAATGAGAAATACTCTGATGGAGGGATAAGAGAGCACATACTGAAGATGAGCAACACAGCTTCCAAGCTAAAGCCAATGGATTTGGGGCTCAAGGATGAGTTCCTGATTCATTTGGTTTTTGCTTCCATGCCTAAAGAATATGATACTTTTGTTGTAAATTACAACATACAGCCTGATAAATGAGATATTGAGAAGCGCATTGCAATGTGTGTGTAAGAAGATGAGAGGCTGAAAAGCTCACAAGGTGACTCTGCTAACCTTGTGAAGGACAACAAGAAGAAGAACTTTAACAAGAATGTCAAACCTCAAGGGAAAGCCCCTCAGAATGACCATCGTCAGAAGAACAATAATGCCCAAGTTGAAAAGGATTAGTGCAAATGGTGCAAGAAGCATGGATATTACTAGAGGGACTATCTAGATTTCCTGAAGAGCCTTTTGAAGAGAGGTGAGGACTTCAGTACATTCATAGATGAGTTCTTGTATTTAAGTTATGCAAAATCTACTTGGTGGATTGATTCAGGTGCAACTATTCATGTTGCAAATTCATTATAGGGCTTCCATATGAGGAGGACCCTACAAAGAGGAGAAAGAAGAATTAAAGTTGCAAATAGAGTTGAAGCTAAAGTTGAAGCCATTGGAGATCTCTCTCTAGAATTAGATGATGGTTTTATACTTTAGCTTTCAGATATTCTTTATGTACCCACTTTGCGTAGAAATTTGATAAGTGTTTCACGACTAGACGATGTGGATATGATTGCATTTTGGTAATGGCAAATGTCAGATTGTGTTTAATAATAAGTGTGTTGGTCTTGCCTTCCGACAAGACAAGCTTTATTTGTTATCACTTTCGGAGAATGTGAATGATGTGAGCACTGAGAATGAGAATGCTTCCTCGTCTATGAATGCAACAAATAAGCGGAAGAGAGTTCATGATGTATCATCAAAATTATGGCACTGACGTTTAGGCCATATTTCGAGGGGGAGAATAGAGCGATTGATTAAGAAATCAATTCTTCTGTCTTTAGAATTTTCAGATTTAGAACAATGCATTGATTGCATAAATGGAAAGTATATTAAGAAAATAAAAAAAGATGACAAACGAAGCATAGGAATTTTAGAAATAATTCACACAGACATCTGTGGTCCTTTTCCTATGAAGAGTGTGGATGGTTATGATTCATTTATAACATTCAGAGATGATTATTCTTGTTATGGCTATATTTATCCAATTATGGAAAGATCAGAAGCATTGGATAAATTTAAGATATTTAAGGCTGAAGTAGAAAATTAGTACAACTTAAAGATTAAGATAGTAAGATCCGACCATGGGGGAGAGTACTACAGTCGACACACCCCATATAGCCAAGTTCCTAGACCTTTTGTAAGGTTCTTATAGGAAAATGGCATAGTTGCCCAGTACTCTACACAGGACAAGCCTTAGTAAAATGAAGTAGCTGAAAGACGTAACCATACCTTAATGAATATGGTGAGAAGTATGATAAGTTACTTTTCTCTACCGATAAGTTTATGGATGGAGGCGTTAAAAACCTCCATTCATATTCTTAATCGAGTGCCAAGCAAGTCGGTGCCCAAAACATCATATGAGTTGTGGACAGGAAGTGAACCCTCACTTAACTATTTACGTGTGTGGGGTTATCCAGCTGAGGCTAAAGTCTTTAACCCAAACATAGGGAAGTTAGACTCCAAGACAATCGGTTGTCATTTCATTTGCTATCCAAAAAAGTTAAAAGTTTATCGCTTCTATTGTCCTGATAGACATACGAAGTTTGTAGAAACGAGACACGCTGTGTTCTTGGAGGATGATATGGTCAGGGGGAGCATGGTAGTGCGAGATTAACATAGGGAGAAGCGGGTACATGTGCCTACTCCGATGGTTCAGGAGCCATTCTTCACGCTAC